GAAGTGAGAAATTATGTGATATATAACTGCAAAGCAATACCACAGACAAACAAAAACAGGGAGAATGAGGCTGATATATACAGTGGGAGCTGTTCAGTGTGGTGCGTGATTTATCATGGGAATTATTTTTAAAGTTTCACAACGTAACAATCATGATTAGCATTTATTCTGGGTATGATACCTGCCTCTGTGACCCTCTGTTACTTGTGATTTTACCATTACATTTTCACATTTAAAAAAAATATTTTCTCTCTTCTTCTGTGCAAAAACCTCACCCAAAGAACAAAGGAAATTGCCTGACATTACACAAGGAAAATCATGCTGACAAATTCACAAAGTAAAACTGAAAAATCCAGAAAAACACTATCCTGAAAACTTCCAAGGTCTCCTATTCATCTACATCTTAGGTAAAAAAAAGTACACAATGACACTTTTATAATCAACAGCATCCCTTTAAATTGATATACAAACTATTCTCAGAGATCATTTTTACCACAGAGGTGTAGCTACCTCTGGAATGAATGGAATCACCTGTAAGATACAAATGTTTAGGAAAGGAAGTCCAGCAGAATACTGCCTCTTAATGGATTTAATTTAATTAAATAGAAATTCTCAACATTTGTAACAGAAAAAAGAAATGTATTCGTGGACCCCTCTCCTTTTGTTCATGACTCCACATACTACTGCTGCAACTGCTTTCTTGGAAAAATCAGTTTATTAATTCTTATTTAGATTTTGCAGCTGGAAATAAGGGGGTACCTACATCATGGACTCCCAGTAAGTGCTACAGTTTGGGAATTGTTGAACTACAGGACTTATTCTACCCAGATTGACACAGAAGAGTACCACCAAATGAATCACCAAAGCAGCACCTTGACTTTTACTGGATGTCTTCCATCCAAGAATTGGGAAGGAGCATTCCTGATATTCAGACAGTATAATAGCAGTAAGCTTTAGTGAAGTCCATGAAAGTTGTATACTGAGAATTATTGTATTAATGATGGCGATTACTTGTTGCCAAGTATGATCATCTTCCATGGGAGTTGTGGACCCTTAGGAGACTGACAAGGCCAATCCTTGAACCACAAGTTCTGTTACAGTGAAGACAGATGTTTCTAGGTACAGTGGAGGGGTGTTGACCATGACTAGAAGCCAGTCTCCCCTTCCTCCTGGGCCTCTTTTTCTCTTCAGCTTGTCGGTGGGAAAATTAAAAATGCAGGGAGCCATTGCGTAGGACTTGTCTCCATTTTGAGTGTTCCTGGGTGAGTGTCTCCCAAGTTAACAACATCAATGTTGCATTTCAAGTTATCCAATCTTCAGCAAGTCCTTATAATGCTTCTGTTCTCCTCCCACTTTACGGTATCCTTCTTTCAGCTAAGAAAATGACCTGTTTTGGCAGGTAGTGGTCTGGCATTGAACAACGTGACCAGTCCAGCAAAGTTGTTGACAGATTATTATTTTCTGATAGCAGTGGTGTTTGCCTCTTACACTGATATTAGTGCACCTGTCTTCCCATTTGATCTTCAAGATCTTGCAGGAGGCAGCATTGATGATACCTCTCAAGGACTTTCAAGTGATGTCTGTATGTTGTCCAGGTTTCAGCCCCATACAATAATGTTGGAAAAATAACAGCTTGAGAGACAAGAAGTTTGGTGTCTCTTTAAATGTCATGATCTTCAAAAACCCTGTGCCATAAACAAGCAAAGGCTGCACTGGCACAGCTCAGACGATTTTGGATTTCCACATCAATATCTGCCTTGGATGAAAGATAACTTCCAAGAAAGAGAAAATGAATGACTTTCTCCAGTGCCTTTCCAGTGATTTTAATAGATAGGACGTATGGTACCTCATTTGGAGAGGGCTGATGGAGCACTTTGGTCTTCTTGATGTTGAGGGTGAAACCAAGACATGCATTAGCATCAGCAAACACATTCAAGATAGTCTGAAGATCTCTCTCAGAGTGGGAGAAAACTGCACTATCATCAGCATACTGAAGTGCCATGATAGATGTGGTGGAAATCTTAATTTCAGTCTGCTAAGCCTAAACAGCTTTCCATCCATTCTGTAGATGATTTCAATGCTAGCTGGGAGCTTCCCAGCAATTAGGTAGAAAATGACGGCAATAAAGACCACAGACATAATTGGGGCAATGATACAGCCCTGTTTGACTGCTGTTTGTACTTTGAAAGGTTCACTCTGGGAGCCAGTGCTGCTCAGAATAGTCGCTTTCATGTTGTTATGAAGCAACTTTAGGACACTGATATGTATTTATCAGGACATCCAATCTTTGAAAATACAGTCCAAAGGGCACACAGTGATTCACTGTCAAAGGCTTTAGTTAGATCAATAAAAGCCACATACAGTGGTCGGTTTTGCTCCTGACACTTTTCTTGCAGCTGCCATTCAATGAAGATCGTATCCGCAGTTCAACAACATGGTTGGAAGCCACTCTGTGACTGTGGTAAAATTTCTTCTGACAGGGGCCAAAGATGGGCTGCAAGGACCTGTGCCAGAACTTTGCCTGCAATAGCAAGGAGAAAGATACCACGATAGATTCCACAGTCCGCTTTATCACCTTTGTTAAAGACGGTTACAATCAAGGCGTCCCTCATTTCACTGGGTATCTCCTCCTTTATCCAAATTTTAAGGATAAGCAGGCTAAGCTGCCAAATTAACTCTTCTTCACCATCTTTAAAGATTTCAGCAGGGATCCCATCTGGACCTGCTGCCTTGTTCTTCATCTGCTTCGTGGCATTGTATACCTCATGCAAACTGAGAGGGTCTCTAAAGTCATCCCTAGAGGGTTGTTGGGGGATCTGCCCAAGAACTTCAGAGAAGATGAAAGAAGAGCATTGTTCGTATCTCTAAAGGACATACTGAAAAGTCTAGCAATATCCCTGAACACTAGAAACTGTATTCTTTTTGTGTTCTTGTACTAATTGCCCTAGTATTGCATCTCATATCCATTTCAACAGATGCCTATTCCTAGAGCAGCTGATAGTTATTTTCACGTTTTTGTTGAAGAGGCAAATTGTACAGCAAATTAAGTAGGATCTTCATTAATACTGACATGGCCTTTGTAAACTCTGGATTTGCACTCACTTTTGATTTTTGAAGTATAGCTCTATATTCAATTTTTAAATGAAAATGTTATCTTCATTCTCTATGTTTCTATTCCATGCATGGAAAAATAGAACTCTCAGATGGCCAAATACTTCCCAGTTCTTCCTATAGCTGTTATTCAGACTTTATGGTGGATAAAGTTGCTCTCATATATTTTACAGCGATTGAGTTCAAATTTCAGTGGTGTTATATTTTTATTTAAAACATTTTATTTTTTATTCTTTTGGTGTTAAGTGGATTACTACAATTTAAACAATTCTTTCTTTCATCCCTAAATATGCTGTATTACATAGAAATATTTAAACAACTCTTTGCTGAAGAAACACCTAGTACTACTCTATTTTAATTAAAAAAAAAAACCACACAACCAAGAACATGTCTTAATTTCTCTTAAAAGTGCCATTTTAAAAAGACTTGTTATATGTTTGGAAAAAATACAAAACCTGTCTAGTGACCAAGCTAATATTGAATTCCTGAATTCCCAGTAGGCATTACTTTAACACAGCGAAGCCCATTGTATGAAATAAATGCCTTTCCTCACAGAGGTAAAGAGCTCTTAGCCTTTGATTTATATTTATTAAATCTTCTATTGAGTTTTTTTTCAAGCTAAAAGACAGACCAAAATCTCATCCAAAATGATAAATTAGAAAGCCCAGCTATTGTGCATTAAAGCAAGACACATTTAAAAAAGAATTCCATTAGAAAAGGATTGCCTAGCTATTTAAATAGTCATGTTTAACAAAATTCAATTAGGAATAATGTGGCTCCCCTCTCAGAGTTTAGAATTCCTATTCTAGGTTTATAAACCCTATAAATATCTTAATTTAAAAGAGTAATGGTTTTCCAATATTGCTGATTTAAAAAAAAAAAAAAAAAAAAAGGTATGCTGGATTTTTAGTGAATGCTAATTGCGTGTGAGAGACAGAAAGTTGTATCAGGTATAATAAAGCATCGCATTAATTTTTTGCTTATGGTTTGATTTGTCAGAATTTTTTTACCAAGAATCCTAAAGGCCAAAATCTCAGGTGGTGTAAATCAGTGTAGTTCAGCTTAAGTTACTGAAGCAGTGATGATCTTTTCAAGAGTACGTTACATATAGCACACTGACTTTTAACTTTATTTGTTTCTAGCTTCACATATGGAAATTCACTTCCATTCTTTTAAATGTAGAAATCAGGAACAGAGGTTATTTTGGGTGTTATTTGGCTACTCATCTAAAGAGTGATTGTTGCATGAGTAACTAAAAACCACAAAACACAGTTATCTTAAATTACATAAATCACAAGTCCTGACATTTACCTGTTGCATTGTAGGGAACCGAGGAAGAGTATCTTTGCTTGCTACATCTACATTGCTGTGACAGCCTCTGGTACAGTAGAGGTGCGTCTACACTGGCAAAACTTGCCAGCTGTCTACACTGGCTGCATGAATTTGCACAAGAGTACTGACATTGTAATGTACAAAATCAGTGCTTCTTGCGCAAATACTTTCATGCTCCCGCTCGGGAAAAAGCCCTCTTGCGCAAGAATACTTGCGCAAGAGGGCCAG